TTTGTGGGGGGGCCATTTTTGGAAGGGGAAATGGCCCCCGGGGGGGGTTTGTTTTTTCCGGGGGGGGGGGGGGGGGGGTGTACTCAATGTAACCGCACGCGGTAGTCTTGAGACCATTGATCTCGCATCCCAACACCTGGGCGGAGCGATATGCCGGGTTTTCGCCGGCCCAGATGTACGCACGTTTCACTAGGATGATCCAGAAGCTGGTCATCATCCTTGCGTTTGCCGTGTCAAACCAGATATACCATGCTGTGGATTGACCGGGGGGGGGGTGGTGGCGGAAGTACGACGCGATGCTGCGGTGCTGCTGGACTTTGGTCTTGGTATGCGTATGTATTCTAGCATCCAGAAGTTGTGCGTACAAGAAATAGACAATGTACACCCTACCGTGTCCGATATTAGACAGGATGTTTGTGGGATCCCACGGAAAGTTTGTTCCTGCACGAAAGTGACGAGAGGACTGCAAATGTCACTTACCATTGCAGGTTTAGTGTATTGGCTCATGGTTTTTGAAGGGGCCTCTAAACGCTCTCGTGCGTTGTGTGTCGTCATTCCGGTGATCTCTTGAAGTGAACATGTCCTCCTCATCTCGTCATCGTGAGGAAGAGAGCGATTCCTTGCTTTCCTAGCCGGCCACGCGTAACACTCCAAAGACCTGACCAACCCGACAAGTACCGGCCCTCTCGTGCTGTGTGTGTAGGTCGCACAAGTTAACCACACACTACACCCGGACCGGTTACATGTATCAGAGAGCCCGATCACTCTGCCCCGAGCCAAAACTAATAAAAAACATGACAAATTAATAAAAAAAATGACGGTGCCGAAAATGGCGGCGTTGGCATCACCTCTTCCCGAGCTTTCTGAAAATGCACCTGTGACGTTCTCTTCATCGTGGAGTATGCATGCGTCGAGCTTCTTAAAATTCATTCCAAAGGGGTGTGCTATTTAAGGTAGAGTACGCAGGTCTCGTGGTAAATCCTCCTTCCCCGACCCAGCTAATGCACCGCCGCGCTGCACCAAGAGCAGATTCCAAACTCAACCGTGGTTTCGGCTGGGATCTCGGCACCCTGCTTTTTGCCCGACGCCTTCCTTCTTACAAACATGATCGCCTCTGCATCGTCTCGAGTGTTCGAGAATGCAAGAAGTAGACGAACTCTGCCTTCTCTGGGTACACAGTATTAGTTTGCCCGAGCTCACAACAACAAAAGGCTGCTGCAAAACAGATGCAATCGCCCGTGCGGCCAACCGTGAGGGGAAGACAGCAAGTACTCGTGCAAGGGTGAAGTTCCGCCTTGTGTGTGTGCTTGCCGCTGGTGTTTGCAGCCGTAGTCTTGACGTCCATCTCCCCCCGCTGACACCACAGCAGTGATGATGTGTCACCCTTCCATCTGTGGGGACCCCATCTGCACTCCCACCGCCTGTTGGTTCGCGGCTCGGTCCGGTGCCACACACACCGCACGCACACTCCGCCCTCGTTCCACCGGCTCTCTTTTCCCTCACATCTCTGCATCAAAGGTACGTAGCCTTGTCGTCGTCAGGGAGCGTTGTGTGTCCAGCAGCACCGGCTTCGGCTGCGAGTTGATCCGGGAGACCCGCAACGATTTGTTCCTCGACCGTGCAGTGCAGTGAAAATGCCCCCAGTGCTTTTTTTGGCCCTCATCAGGCGAGGGAGAGAACCCTTTGTTCAGGGTGCGTGTTGGCCGGATGTTTGTGCACGGCCGTTGCTCTCTGCCTCTCCGTGAGCGGTGTAGGGATAGGGAGTTGCGGAGGAGGTTGGTCCCTGGCCGCTGCAGTGGAGGGGCGAAGTAACAACGTACGTGCACACCAAGGGGGCTCTTCTTGCTCTCGCGTGTTGACCGACGACGTGTGTCAGCAGTTCGCCGAAAGGCCCCAACTTTTTTTCATCTCGAAATGTGTGTTAGAGCCTACTGCTGATTGCGTGCGCAGCAGGCGCTGCTGCTGCTGTTGGGTTCGCGTTTCCGTGCATCCCACACCGACCGATCACCCTAGTGAACGCCAGGGCCTTATCCTCTTGCCCCTTTTCACGCACTTTCGTGGTGCTCTCTCTCGCCCCCGTGTTCCCGCCCACCGGGTGATTCTTGGTCTTTGGTCTGCCGGTGTTCGCTCCTCTGTCGGCTCGGGCTTGGCTGTGGCTGTTTGGCGGCCGGCGTATCGTGCGGGATATCGCAACCCCACGCTTAAACGCGCGGCAGATGGTGGTGTTCTACAACGACCTCAACAAGGTGGCGAGGGGTGAGTCGTTGGTCTCTCTTTGCGTTAGAATCGTACCTTTGATCCTGGGATCGATGGTCGTTTTACCCCGACACACACATGGGTCTTGGCCTTCCCTCAAAGTGTACCGAAACCTCCCGGGAGCCGAGGAATAGTCACCGCAAAAAATGACACCGGGTGCGCGAATCGAGTTCGAAACGCAAGTGCACCAAGCGAGAGGGCGAAAACCGCAGACCGCCCCCCCCCTGCGCAGGATCGGCAATGGCAACATTTTGCATCCTGGGCGGCAGGTCCCATTGCCTGCGAGCGCAGCTGTGTTCCGCCTGCTCTTTTTGTATCGCTACACAGAGGATCCTTACTCCGTCTGCCTCCACTGCTTGTCATGTGTACATCACAAACGGAAAGTTTACGCATGTAAGCCTACGTGTGTCTCACCGTCCGCTCTGTAATTTTACTGGACCCTTTTGAAGGAGAAATGCCTTGCCGAGGAACAGATGCAGTACAGATATATATCGTTGCATAAATTCTAAATACACGGTTCTTGACGAGTGGAGGTCAGGTAGTAGAGAGCACTAGGATAGGATACAGAGTACAGGTATTGTTATGTACTATTTGTACCGGTATGTAGGAGACAGGTATTGTTCTGTTTTATGCGAAATATCTGCTGTTTATATACCCACGTCATGGAGAGATGTGGTGTCGACGCAGCGACGTATGCTAGATGTGCATTATAGTAACCTTTTGGGGGACTAAAACCCAGCGTTATGCATATAATAACGTGCCGCAAGGTGATGTTTCTGCACAGTATAAGATTTCTTGTGTCAAAGGCGGCATGCGTTGGGTTGCTGCTGTAGGTGGCATATACACGCGCGCGCTCGGTAAGTATTTGTAGTGAGGCGTCCTGAATCTCTTCGTCTTTCACGCGTTGATGTCTCTCTTCGCTAATATCTTGTACGTAAGCTCCGCAGGCGGGTAGGTTAGGGCATGAAAGAAGTAAAAGACATTGTCAACCCGGCTCATATTTTACATACAGAGACTGGCGTCCGCATCCTGTAGATTGGACCAACAAATGCACAGCGTTAATCCAATACAACAACAGCAGTAATCTGAATTCATCCATGCCATTTCTGCTGGGTACAAACGATTTTTCTGGTGCTGCATCGACGCGGACGTGTGTGGTCTCCTCACGCTCGAATTCGTATGCCTCCATCATGCACGCCCCGCGCTCTCTGTTTGTACACCTTTGCACGCCGTGTCAGATGCACTGCATCTTTTTTGCTTTCGTCGATTTGTTTGTTGGTGTGCTGTGCGTGGTAATGGGTTGGTGTTGGTGTCGCAGTGGATGCGATACGAGGGTAACCGTACGGCAGTCAAGTGACGATACACCTTGCAGAAGAATCAGAGAGAGTTGCACTTGCGTCCGAGTTTTTTTCCAGAGTTCTTTGGAGAATCCGGCCCCTCACCTTTAAAACACACACAGGGCAGTTTTAGGAGGGCAATGGCATCAACCTTTTACGTTTTTTTCGTGTGTGGTTTTCAAGAACATGTACCGAAAACTGCAAGGTTGTGTTTACAGTACAGTATTTTTAGTACAGTATTGATTGTAGTACTAAACGTACTCTATAGTATAGTATCAGGAGTTGTACTGAACCTGCAGTATAGTACAGTACGGAGAGGTGTACTCAAGCGTACTATTGGGGTAGTATACAGTATCGAGAGCTGTACTAAACCCAAAAGTATATTACAACATTTTCAGCACTACTGTACTAAGCCGAGTATAGTACCGATCCAAACCCGATACTAAACCCGGAGTATAGTACAGTACGGAGAGCTATACTAAACCTACTATTGGTTATAGTACAGTATCGAAAGCTGTACCAAACCTACTATTGGTGATAGTACAGTATCGAGGGCTAACTAAAGCGTACTATTGGGATAGTACAGTATCGAAAGCTGTACTAAAGCGTACTTTTTGGATAGTACAGTATCGAAAGCTGTACTAAAGCGTACTTTTTGGATAGTACAGTATCGAGGGCTGTACTCAAGTATATTATTGACTTTGGGGACAGTACAGCAGTGTGGAGACCCAAATTAATTATTACCACTACGTCTGCTGCTGCGAAGCTCCTCCGCCCGTAGCGTCTTGTAGTGCTTGTGCTGTACTCGCATCATCGGCAGGCGCGGAGGAACTGCCAGCGGCCTCACTCATGGCTATGGCTGATGGTTGCCACCTCCCCTGTCGGGTACTTATACTACGACTATTACTATTGCTCGAGTACGCTGAGTAGAGCACCGAGGTACTGGTGCTGTTGCACACTGCACACACAGAACCAAAACACGCCGCTTCTGCTCAAGAATGACGTCATCAACACACCCTTTGGCCGGAATCCGGGCAGATACTCGGGATACTATCCGAACGAGTAGAGTGCAGTACTGATAGTAGTACTAAACCTACGGTTGACTTTACTAAAGTATGGAGAGCTGTACTAAACCTACTGTTGGTTTTAGTAAAGTATCAGGAGCTGTACTAATGCTGCTATTGCGATAGTATAGTATCAGAGGTTGTACTAAACCTGCAGTATAGTACAGTAAGGGGGGTTGTACTCAAGCGTACTATTGGGGTAGTGCAGTATCGAGAGCTGTACTAAACCCAAAAGTATAGTACAATATTTTCAGCAGTACTGTACTAAGCCGAGTATAGTAGCGATCCAAACCCGATACTAAACCCGGAGTATAGTACAGTACGGAGAGCTATACTAAAGCCTACTATTCGTTTAGTACAGTATCGAAAACTGTACTATACTAAACCTACTATTAACAGAGTATAGTAAAATACTCGAGTAAAATACTCGAGTACGTCCAGTATGTACTGTACTAAACACACCCTTGGAAAAATGGTCGGGTGTATTGTTGATTTTCAGTAAACGGTCGATATGCTTCCGTCACACAGACGCAGCTCCCGAAGACTATATTTGCGTACGCGGTAGAGAGTTTGATATAAATGGGGGATAAATATGCTCTAAGTATTTTCGGCCTACCCCCTCTGCTTTGAAATTTTGGTGAAATCACGGATAATGAGCCCTTCAAACGCAAATCGCGGGAAATGAGTAAAATCTTGAGCGCACGCGAACAGAGAGTCACGGACTTGGAAGCGCCACCACGCCCAGCGAATCAGCAAATGCCCGTGCCCCAGCAGTTTCAAGAAACAACTTTTCCATCAAAGCTGACAAGCTCACAAGCAGACCTTTGATTCTAGATACACTTAAGAGCCCTGGTCATGCGCAACCCGTACCCTATTTCTCTGGGTGTGTATGTACTAGCATGCACGCATTACATATCACATGTCTCGGCGGCTTTTGTGCTTCCCTTGCCGAGAACCCACTAGTAAATGATAAATTAGCCCCCCCTTCCACGCAGCCCCCTTACCCTCTTCCCGGACGAAGTCTAACGCCCCCCCTCCCATCACTCTCATCTCCCGTGCGTGTCGTGTGTTGTGTGTGTCGGGGGTTCTGCCGCTCCCTCGTACGACAGACATCCTCAGCGATGACTACAACTTGAAGCGAACGCTCAAGATGAAGCACACCACCCCGCACGGCGTGACGGTCACCGCCAAGAGCGAGCACAGCAAGGGCGTCAACGGCGCGTTGGAGGCCAAGTTCTTCCACGCCAAGTCGGGGGTCTCCATCGACAAGGCGAAGGTACGAGAGTGAGCGAGTCGGGGAGGAGGTTGTATTCGAATACCAGAATACCTCATCGAAAACCGGAACGCCTTGTAGGCCTTGAGGCGGCACACCCGCTTGAGAGGCGCAAGCCACGAGAGATTTTTGACGAACGCGGACGGTAGGCCCGTGCACGTACTTGGTTTGAGTGCGCCTATTCGTTGCCAGTAGGCCTGGACCGCTAACTCGTCGTCTGTGTTCGTTTTTTGTCTGCAGCTCAACCCCGACGGCAGCATGGGGCTGGAGGCGTCTAGGAGGGACGTCGCCAAGAACGTCAAGCTTGTCGCCAAGGTGTGCATGCATTCATGGCGATGTTTCTGGCGGGCGTAGGCGTTTTCTTTGACTCGTACTTACAGTTGTGGTCGTAGGCGTAACTGCTGCGATTGGCATTTGTTGGAAACGTCAGCAAGTACAAGATCTTGCGAGAAAGGCGTGAAAATCTCTCTCTTCTCTCATGTGTGGCATAGAGTGGAGAGGAGTTCCCCCCCCCTCTATTTTCCGGTCTTTGGTGGGGCATGGATCCCGTTCTTCGGGGAAATGATTGCTTTCGAAGTGCTTTCAGACGCTTCTTGTAGGAGAAAAGAGCTTCGTCGCCCCCCCCCCTCCTTTCACGCTGTAGCATTCGTACTATTATAGAAGTAAGGGCCAAGATGTGACATTCGGACTGACGACTGTCTTGATTGGTCAGCCGGCTACAGCAGTGGAACGGTCGACGCCCATCAAAGAAACACACACACCCACGCACACGGGGTCCCAGCTAATGGCATTTAGAGGCATTTTCTGTCTTGAACCTCGCTTAAGACTGACGCTTTTTCGCTCGTCCGCCAGTGAACGCGGTCGATGCCAAAAATTTGAGACACGCCCATATTCGCGTCCTTCGAAACGCGCGCGGCAAAAACAGGTGAACGACGTTCTCAAGGGCGAGGTCAGCATGGAGCACACGGTGGGCAAATCGTCCTCGCGGGCGACGCTCGACGTTGAGGGCAACTGGATGAGGACCTCCACGTGCATGGCCGTGGGCTCCTCTCTCTTGGTCGGCGCCCAGGGCGACTTCATCGTGGGTGCCCCCAAGGTGCGTTGTTTGTGCGTGGCGGGATAATATAAATAAGTAGCTGTGAATGATGTGTTTGCGGGCGGTCTGTGTGTGTGTGTGTGTGTGTTTGTTGCGTAATGCGTAGCACCGAAGGCGCTAACCAGCTCAGCGATGAACGCCGTCAGGGTTTTCAACAATTATGTTTCATTTGTGCTGGGTTGTGGTTCTGGTCTGCTGGTGCGCTGCTACACATACATGCGGTTGGGTTTTGTTGCATGGCACGAAAATCGACGTCGGCTTATGTAACAGTTGCATACAGCAGCTGCGGATGTGGCACTTCACGCACCAGGTCTTGGTTATTCACAGGTGGGAAGTGGGTGTGATTCGACGTGTTGTAGGACCCGCACACACAGACGGAGTTCGCCTTGCACCTAAAACGATGGGCTCTCAAAAGCAGGTACAGAGACGTGAGCGGGCTGTCGCGTGCACGACCAACGGGGGTGCTGTTTCGAGCTATAGTTGGGGCTAAGCTTGAAGATGATACAGCAGTGAAGTCTTTCGCGAGGTGACCTCCCTTGCTGGTGCTCCGACCACGCATCGAGCAACCTAGAGGAAAGCGTCGTACGCGATGAGGCTCGTAGCGTAGTTGACCAGCCTGGCGTCTATTGTAGGTCTCCCTGTGGTATTACTCCAGTAGTGTGATTCTCCTTTTTCACGTTGTGGAAAAGTTGAGTACGATTATCATGGAGTTGGCTGAATGGCGGTGAAAAATGTGTCGTTCTATCGTAATTTGAATGGAGAACCGGTTTGGGCGAGGGACGCGGGACACGATGTATATGCCCTTCCTCGGCCTTGCCCCCTTGCCCCCCACCCACCCAACCCCTGTGAAACATGGCCTGGGCCGGCGAAAACCTGGCATGTCGCTCCGTCCCGGCATTGTAGGGATGCGAGGTCAATGGTCCAACAATTACGGCATGCGTTTGCATTAGTGCACCACCCCACAGCCATGGACGACGGTCTAACAGCTACGGCACGCAAAACGTGAGTACGCTCCCACCACCCACCTTTCCCCGTTCCCGCTTCCAGGACTCCGCCCTCAAGTCCTACAGCGTCGGCGCGGCCACCGGCGGGTCTCGCTGGGGCGCGAGCCTCACCTGCACGAACGCGATGCAGACTTTCAACGCATCGGGTTACTACATCCTGCAGCCCAACCTCGTGGGCTCCGTCATGGCGGTGACCACACCCGAGAAGAGCGAGACCAGGTTAGCCCGGTTGGGTGCTTGTGTGTTTTTCTTGATTAGCACAGACCGCGGTAGCCGGTTGACCAATGAAAATACGTCAGTCGTGTAGCGGGAAAAAATAAATTCTTCCTAATGAGCATGTGGTTCTTGAAGTTTCGCCGACCGTGCCAACCAGCTGTGGCCAAGGAAATATATTTTTGAGTGTCGGCAGGCGAAGGCCGGAGTTCCCTGAATATGTTTGTTGTAAGTGTGTGTGATTTTTTTTCATTATTGGCGTTGACCGCGCTAGGCGGCTGACCAAGTAATAAAGTGTGTGTCTTCGATGATATGATCATCGGCTGCCCCGGCCAACTGGCCACCCCAACGGCTGGACATGTTGGCGTGGCCAGGAACGTTGAGAACATGGTCAGGCCATCGAGTCCTCCCTGACGGAGGGGTGTGAATCTGTGCCATGTGTTGTTTTGGTGTCGTCTATTGCTGCTTGTTTGAGATGATGGTTGAGACGGTGGAGGGAGTTTTGCGTTGTCGTTTTTACAGCACGCCACCGCCCGTCGTTCCGGTATTTGCTGTTCCAACGCAGTCGTGGTTGTGCTTGAAAGATGAGACGTCTACTATAGATTCGGACAGCCCCTCGAGGAGCCGGATGCTGCTTTTTTGCGGCATATTCGGCTGTCTCCTCGTGTCGTGCACTGGTAACTTGTCCACCCCGCATCGACGCCTTTTCTCCCATCTCTTCCTGTAACGACCATCACTTTTTTTTTTTTGCTACCGTGGTGACGTACTTGACACGACCGCAGCTTCGAGGCCGGCGTGAGATACCAGTGCAACCCCAAGACCACCGTTCGCGCCAAGATGAACTCGAACGGCTTGGTGCAGGCGTGCGCGGTCAACCGGTGCGCCGACAAGGTGGCCATCACCGTCACCGCTGCGGTGAGTGAGAGGGATGCGCGGTGGTTACGTTTTTTGCCCACGCTGCTGCACATCCGAGATGTTTTTTTCGACGGTATCGAGAGCAAGGGTTAGGCAAAGAGGGGTGGGGAGACTAGGCGAAGAGGGATATGGGGGGTACGGAGATGCGGTTAGCACACAGCAGAGAGAGGGGTGACTTCATGAGATTCTCCTGGCTAGTTCGTCTAGGATCTTTTGTGGTTGGTGACATGAAGCCAAAGTGCACGAAGATTGGCACCCGGAGGAACACTGAAGACAAAAGATTCGCCCGGACACAATTGCCAGAGGGACGGAACACCTGTAGGCCTACGGCGGGGGAGGGAGGGGCGTCGCAAAGCTGTGGGGTTTGTCGTGCCCGGCGCACGTGAATGACACATCGGCTGGTGGTACGCGGGGTACATGTCTCCACCAGACAACAACTAAGTTTCCACCAAGGAATTTTCGAATGAGAGGTGGGCGGTGTGTGAAAGTCGGTCGTGAATTGCTCCGCGTTCCGTGCATGGGCGGCTGTGTCACAGTTGTTGCTACATACAGAGACCACACGACCCTCAGGCAGGTGAGTTCCCGCAGTTTCGCTGCCTGAAACGGCAATGCTCTCGCGATGTAAACGTGCTGCTGATGCCGACGTATCTGTCCCCTTGCCTTCTTGTGCCGGTGTTCGTCCGCCCAGGCTGCCAAGAACGACACAACCCCCAAGTTCGGACTCTTGTGCGCGTTGGGCTAGACGTACCACCCTTGGCGGTGCCATGATACCATACCATCCCTGGTCATCCCGGGGAAGAGATTTCGACGGCAGAACGTGATCGGGACTAGGGTGGGGATTATTGCGGACGGAGAAGGAGGAAGAGCTTACCACACACAAGGACAGATCACCCTCGTCCTGAAGCAGCCCACTTTTTTTCACAATTGGCGTCGGACGGTGCCTGACAGACGGGGGTGTCGGGGGGGGGGGGGGGAGGGACTATGCACCCAGATTTTTTATGCCCCAGAAGGGTTTACTGTGTGACGCTGGATAAGGGCCTTCCAGGGGGTGTGCAACAACGATATGCAGGTTATACATTCATCTCTTACGCTAGCCGAGATACATCTGGAGGCATGCTAGACTGCTCAACTTTGAACAAAGCGAGCATTGAGACGTGCCGATGGGAGCGGCGGGCGCTGTGTGCTCGGCGCTTGTGCTTCCAAGTGCTGTGCCTCTGTGATTGCACTCCGTGTTAAATCTTTCCAGGCATGTCTTGATCTCCTTGCGGTTTTCCGCCGATGGGCGAACAAACCTCGTCTTGAGTCCTGGAGTCTTTTGTGTGTTTCTTTCACGACTACATTCGCTCGTGGTTCTATGTTTAATTGTGGTTGACGTCGATAAACGGAGCGGGTGTGTTATGTGTCAAGAAGTTTTTGCGGTGAGTAAGAGGCATGTGTGTGTGAGCTGTGCTCAAGTGTTGTGAGAACGCGCCACAGATCAAAGGGTGGGGTGTGGTGTTCCAAAATTCTTTCCTTTCGTCGTGGGAGCTTGATGGAATGTATTCACTCGAGACTGAGGAAATATTAATGGTATCATAACCACACAGTTCACACTTTTTAGCTCGCAGGCTTTCTTTCGCCTGACCAACACTGGCTACGCTTGGCCCATGAGCTATTTTTTCACGAACATGCCTGGCGATTCTTGTCCATATTTTAATATGTGCTACTGCTGTAGGGTCCTGAATCAATCTATTCACCTGGTATTTTGATACCTGAGGTTTTTTTGTTTTTTGTTCCGTCTCTCGAATCACAAGTCAGTGCGTGGCGGGCCCCAATTCTGTAGCTTCTTCAAAACCCAGCAGGATCATAACACCCGTCCCCAAACAGCCGCTCCCCCCGTGCCTACTAAGCGTTCATCATACACATTCACCACAGTAGGGTTGGTTGTGCTAGCCAGGCAATGATGATTGCCAGCGGGTGTGCCAACTCTTCGTGAACTTCGGGGCCGAGTTCCTGGGTTCTGTGTATTATGTGGCCTCACGCCGACGGCAGCCTCTTGTTTCTGCCGGTGGTTGTCATGAACGGTTCGTCGAGAGAAAAACCTTGTTCAGTCAACGAGTGAGACACACCTGACCTCTAAATAGAGCAAACTGATTCGAATGTGCACGACACAATTCCAATCCATTCCCCAACCGCCGCACACGAAAACATGTGAAGCAGCATTGTTTCAGTACCTCACAACGCTTTCTGGAGGAGCAGGACACTTTTGAGCCACAGGTAGAGGCAACCGTTTAGTTGAAACACCCGCGTCCGGGGTGATGCCACTCAAGCTTTTTTTCTTGAATCGGGGTGCAGCTAAGTAAGATTGAATACATGCAAGCATGCATGTATCTCAAAATCATGTCCGTCCGTCCACTTCACAGTCTCCAGACCACCTACTTGCACTATTATTGTCGACCTGCACGCCGCTCCAAACCGGCGTGTCTCGGGGTGACCGGTGAGGTTTACCTGCCGCACACAGGCGGGCCATCTGCCCCTCCAGAGATTCATATGCAACATGTAGTCTACTGTAGACAACGTTTTTCGTGCTCGGACTCTGGCCCGTGGTTGAGAGAGCTTCGTAGCTTCGAGGCCGGGGCAACTCCCACTTCACACGACGCAGTCCAAACAGCGGCGCACGTGTCAGAGACGGCCGCTTCCTGGTGCTGCTTCGGCGGGTAGGGGGGGCGGCCTCCGCCCACAGGCACTTTCACTCTCAAGCCCGTCCGTGGAGTTGCTGTGTCGTCACAAAGTGAGGCGACAGCAACGTCAAGTCCACACATCGGCTGCGGCATGAGTGAGACAAGTTATTGGAGTTCGATATGGAGACTACTGCTTGTAGTGAACAGGCAGGGAACAATTCCCTCTCGATGCCACAACGGTTGCCCCAACTCTAAACGAGGCCTGAAACATTGTTTTGTGTTTTGGGGGGGGAAGCATGTCTCACCATTGAATCTACTGCTGCTCTGTTTTGTACGTGATACATGTGTAGTCTAGTCTAGAACCGACGGCGTGTTCGTTCGTTCGCTACGGATGGATGTGGATCCACGCCGAGACTGCACGAAGATTCGAACCTTGTTCTCCGTAGTATGCATACATATGACAAACTCTGCAGCAACGGTGATCAGCCCCCGCAGCGCTGGGCCTGGCTCACGGTCGTCCTCAGGATGCTTCCACACGGTACAGCTCGCATGGACGAGGAGGCAGGGGCAGATTGTAAGTTGCACACTTTGCACACAAAAATTGAAACGGTTGAACAGGCAACGAAGGTCCGCGTCCGGAGCATGTCAATTTGCGGAACTCGCCGAAGGGCGTTGGATAATAACAGGCATACCACACATATTGGAAACAATAGCGCTGTTCAGCAGTAGGATCACGGTGGTGCGCCCCCTCCGCTCCAACAGCAGCAGTCCACAACCACAACACACCACACGGATGGACTCACGGACTCATGGTTGTGAAATCTCCGGAGATGAGGGGCCCAAAGATAGATGCGATAGGCGGCATGGAAGTGAAAATCGACAGCGTCCATAGGGCCCCTACGACCTGCCCGAAGATCACCCACACCTGCCCGATCATCGCGACGGTCACGACATCGGAGGGAACGAGACCACAGGACTTGTCTCGTCAGCCAGATGGTGGGTGGAAATAAAACGCCGTACTCCAGGACACCAGACTCTACATGTGTAGATGCCGTACGCTCGCCGAAGCGGCGTACCTTCTTATGCTACCGGCTTTGCGCTACCGTTTCGAATCCCCTTGGAGGCGCGAAGAGAGAGACCGGCGGGATCCTGGAGAGGGTGCGCCCGTGTCACTCTCATCTCTTCCCACCATTGTTCGCTCATCACTCCCGAGCGGAGAGACCGGGTGAACTGTTGAGGGATGAAGCTCGCTCGGCTACTGGCTCCTTTTTGGGAGAACCGCCACCGATCGACCTGAGCACGAAAGGGCAAGAAGGAGCAAGATCTTCCACGAGGGGAAAGAACCTATAGGCAAAGAAAGAGGGGCAAGAGCAAGCAGGTCCAGAGCAGGTGTGCGTTCCTGTGATTGGTGCACGACGAGGACAGGTTTTCTGTGTACAAGTAAATGGTGAAATCTTAATCTTTGCGGATAAAAAACTAAAAAACGCGACCACAACAAAAAAAGCTTTCCCTACGACTAAAAGGGTGCCACACACAAAACGCCCGACCAGTACCTAATACATTTCTTCTGCACCTTCCCAACATAGCATATATGAGACACACAAGACAGCTACCAAACTGTCTTGTTGAGCCTGTTACCCGCAGGGGAGATGTCCCTATGTGCTGTCTGGGAAACTGTAGACACAGGTACTTTCTGACGCTATGAATTCATTGCCAGTCTGTCTCAGACTCTATGATAGAGATGGATTCGTTGTGTCATACCATGTATTAAGAAAAATAAAAATCAAACAAAAACGCGATGACGTGTGTGTGTGCATGTTCTGGTGTCCTACTTCCGATACATAACAATAGTACTTCGAAGTAATTGAGTAATTTACGTCGTTAATGTTAGCATCGGACCGCTGCATAGCCGGCTGACCAAAGTGAAAACGTCACATTTATTGGGGTAAAAACTCGAGCACGTGTGTGTCCTTGTTGATATCATCTTATCATGTTATATATATATGTACTCACAGGATTGCGGTCGTGTCGTCATACATTTCAAACTAATAGTACGGAAACACAAAAAAGCATGATCTCTCGATTTTTTTTGTACACGTGAAGTACACCTGGGTAAGACCGAAAACTAGCTAATCTTTTCGACTTCGGCTGCATGACGTACCTATTATAGTACTGTGAACCGGCTGACAAATGGAAAAACCCCAGTCTTGCCGACTAGAAGTACTAACGGAATAAATAAACCTCTCTACTCTACTACTCTAGCATCGGGCACTGTAGTGGTATGCACGCGTGATGAAGTCTGGTTGACCCGTGAAGAAGAACTCACTTGTTGTTACTCTTGTAGAACAGCAGCAGCAGTAGCTGTTGCCTTGGGTATCGGTAGGAATGACACCAAGGGGCACAGGATCCTCTGCACAAGCAGGGGCTACTAGATCCTGTCCCCTGCTTTTTATCCTTCCGCGGATAGTTACATCTCTCCGCGCCTTCTAGAAGGAACCAAGCTCTTCTATGTTCCGTCTACACATCTGAATCCTATAACACTAGCCCACCCTGGAGGTTCTCATACGCAGATACTGTAAAACCTCGGAGTCTTGACAAGCAATTGTCGAGTCTCTAAATGAAAGTATCGAGGATGTGGAGCTCCAAAACAGCACAATTCACCCTCCCACACCTCTCACTCGATGAGTCGCAAGACCATCGTTTGACTTCTAAAACGACAAAAAGACACAAACAGGAAGGAACTGACGGGGCTAAGAAAAGCCTACGACGACCGGAAGAAGGTCGGAACCAAAGAAAGGAAAACACAAAGAAGGAAGAAAAACAGAAAAGAAAAACAAAGGTCGTCAAAACGACAAAAAAGAAAGGATCACTGTAGGAACCACAACAAGACCGGTATCGTAAGAAAACGATCAGATACGCCATTCACGCAGTCGCCACGGCAGTGTAGAAGGGGCAACAATGGGCGCGAAACACCTACACCAAACGCTAAAGGCACAAAATAAAGCGAGGAGAAAGCGAAAACCAACCAAGGCTAAAAAACAACCCAAACAACGTTGAAAACAACAGAAAGCCAAGACAACTAGCACGTCGTCTTAATGGGGGCGCGCCACGTTATTAGGCAACGAATCAGCCCCGGGGTCACCACGCGACATGTCGACGTTGCGAAGGATCCCCTTAAAAAGGGCACTGCCGCTGTGAACTTGGAGGCACCAGGATCCGGAGACGGCGGTTTCAGCGGTGGAGTAGCGAACATCAGGAAGGGCGAGCTTGACAGGGCCAGGATCGTCCAAGAAGCGGACGACGTAGAAGTCGGACGGTAGAGGCGGTCCAGTAATCTTGCCCAACCACCAGAATCCATCGCGAGCTTTGTACCAGAAGAAGGCGCCTGCAGGTAGCGGAGTATTGGCGAAGCGACGGTCCCAAGTTGAACGAGAGACGAGCGAATAACCCGAAGGCAAAGCTCGCTCCCCTTTAGCGCGCGCCATCTCGCGGATGGCCGCACCAATACGCATAGCCCGATAGCGACGATTCGTTTGGCGATGTTGATCAGGCGAACCCGTCCAGTACCGGAGAATGTGGGGCTTGGAATGCTGGAGGTCCATCTCACGTTCCCAAGAAGGACGAAGAAGACCTTTCCAATGCGTTTGGTATAAAACAGCGATGGTGCCACCACGGCCACGAACAGACTGATGGCCACTAATGCGGTCAACCTCGAGACGTTCGACCGGAGTCGACACGTCGTCTTCCGTAACATGGTAGGGAGGAGATTTATTCGCATAGGAGTTTAGCACATACGGTGTAAGGCCGGCAGGCAGGAACCGAGGCAAGTCTTCAGTGTCATGCGGATTAGCGCAAGGCTTGCAACGCGCAACTGACACACGGTTTTTCGAGTCCGGACCCGGCAGATCCGATGGAAGATCCAAATACAGTAACTTGGAAGCCAGAGGACAACCGTCGGGAGCGTCAGGACACGGACCCACGGCCAAGATCTTGAACGGACCAGTCCACAGGAAAGACAACTTAGCCTTGAGGACCTTGTCATCCGTGCCTGAACGAACACCTTGGCGAATGGTAGATTCGGTGTTGTACACCCAAACCCATCCAC